AAAAAAAACAGGGACTAACTTTGAATGTAGAAATGGATTCGTTTACCATTGGCAAGTATGGAAAATTGTTGTTTACCCCAAGAAAATTCATTTTTGGACAAAACGAACAGTTATTATCCCTTTAATAATGGGTGTGTTTAGACTGAGGTTTTAAAGCTGGAGTGCTGTAAACTTCATGACTAGTCGATCAATTAAATTTTCCTGTTTCTAGACAATGTTCATCGTCTGAACTTGGGCAAATTAGCATAAAATCAAGCTAGATTTATTGGGCTTTCGAGGAGATCTTGAGCAGAACTAATGGCAGGATAGGGAGTGCAGTGCGGTAAAAAATAAAAACTCACAAAAATCACCCATGGATATCTTAAGATTTTTTCGATTTAAAGAAAGTTTATGCAGAATTGTAGCCATTTTTACATCAGTGGGAATTCACAATGTTTCGCGTGTCACTCGTTTTCCCAACGCATAGGTTTTGACACTTTTCGTTAAAAAGTGAAACCCCATTTTACGCTTATTCTCGCATTATTATCTGGTCTCGTATGACATCACGCACTGCCGTCAGCCTCTTCTTTGGTGATGCCCGTTTACATCTAGTGATAGCTCCCAATGGTTTTCCCTTGACATAGCTACAGTCTCTTGTACATCTACTTGTTAAAGACGCTTGGAAAATAGACTAGCGAGTCAATTTTTTGGGTTTTAAAATCTTAAGAATAGTGAGAAATCAATTTGGTAATTTTGTGACGCCTATAAGGCCTAAACCAGTCCAAATACCCGTAATCTTTCAGTGTGCATCCTGCCGTTAAAGTGTTGAAACCCGGCTAATATTTGATGCACTTCCCATTTACTTCCAATATTATTAAGCTAACATAAGTCTGAGATAAAAGATACATGCATAGATTTTAAGCTTTATTTATAATATAAGGCAATGGAAATAATAAGTAAGGGTTTATTGCGCCTTCATTATAGTTTGACTTTAATACATATTTAGTCTGTGTTTCATTTATTTATATTCAAAAGAAGAAAATATTCAAAATACAGTTCTCGCTTAATAAATATTGTTGTAAACACTAACATTATATCAATTTCTTATGTAGGCTTGATACTTACGAAGGTCAGTTTGAAAAAACAAGTTGACACTGCCACGCACTTGAGCATTTCCCTTAGAAATCACGATGTCTGTTTGTATTTTCAGTACGTAAATAGGAACTTGAAGAAAAAACTAGTACGTTCTATATCCTTGTTCATGTCTACGTAACTAAAGAATAAACGTTCAAGCAACGTTATACGTGCAGAACAGTGGGATAGATGATTCAGATATGTTATGTTAGATAATGTCAAGTTATCGCCTGTTAAAGTTAAAAAAATTTGACCACCCTTTAAGCTTCAGCTATTTGTACATACTTGGTAATACGGTTCCTCAAGACACCCACACCCAACGCCCATGTAGCTGCAAGGTATTTATCAGTATGCAAAAATTCTGTTCAATACTATGTAGATTAGTCATCCAGGGAGTCGTATTCTTAAGTTTTTTTAATCTGCATTACTGGACTTAGACTTCCAATTGAATCTTGTTGATGCTGTAACCTCTCCTCTCGGGGATTCCAATTGGTCCACTGAGAATATCGGCAGAACTTCATGTATTCTCAGTCTTGTTACGTAATTTGGAGGTTGATCAAACATGTCCCAAGTAGATTACGCAACAGAACTGAAATAGATTGAAACGACTTTATTTATATATTTTTTCGTTTGTTGGTATTTATTTAAGTATTAAGCAGACCCATCAAATATATTGCTGCACGCCACTGAAAGTTCATTTCTAGATCACCTTCGAATGAAAAAGCTGGCAAACAATCCAGTAAGTCACGTTAGAAACACAACTTATGTAAAACTACTGTTGTTGCAACATGCGTATTCACTGTCTTGTTACGTAATCTTAGTTTGCACGAAAATTTAATGCTAACTTGTTAAAATGACATATGTGGTTTATATTGTCGTAAGTAAAAAGGAGCAATATATATATATATATATATATATATATATATACATATATATATATATATATATATTTATATATATATATATATAATAGTGAAGATGCACGAATAAAATGACTGGCGCAAACTTGGTATTTTTTGATCTGTTGCGTTTTGAGACGATATTTGACCAATACGCACCAAACAGCAAACGTGTCTCAAAGCCGCTTGAGATGATGAGGCTTTTTCAATGTATTTGGCTGTTAACTTCCCAATTTGCAGTGACACTCTGAGACACCTGTTTTAACATATACATGTACACCCTTGGTCAAAATGTTGCCCCACCTTCAATTCTTTGTCTTTTTTTCGTTTTAATCATGATCATATGATCATCTCGCATCTTGAACAGTGTTTCTTATATCAGATACCATATTTAACATGACTCACGGTACAGAAAATACGAATACCCGTGAAGATACCCCTATTTTATACCATTTATTCAAATTTAGACCATACATCCCCTCAAATCTCGGAAATCTGATGTTCCACACTGAATCTCACAGTCCATAAAATTAAAACAGTAGCACCAAATGGCACCAAATTTATACACAATTAGCATGAGCATGTGCTCGTTAAAGACCGCATGTCTAATTAATTAGCGTGAGTTAGGGCCTACTACCGTACTACCTTCAACAAGGCAAGAATTCCGGTTTGTGGAAAATTACATCATTCGTCCAGAAAAGCTTTTCGGAATTGGTCCAGATTGTTAGGGGGCTGAATTTCCACTGCATTGGTAACTCCAATTCAGGAAGCAGCTGCTCAGTAAAGATAGTATCAGGGCTCGAAGAAAGTTGTTCCATCCTCCCATCTTCAGAACATTGCGTTTCTGCAACAAATCACTCACCAGACGATAAATGTGAGCAAATGTGTACTCGTGGTGAAGCCTGTAATTATCCCCCGAGTCACCTCTTGCAAATGGAGTGAGATATATGTTTAAAATATTACATTTATTTTTTTCCGGCATCTTTTGCGTGATCTAAAAACCTTCAATTCTGATTTTGACGATCACGCACGCACGCACGCAACCATTTCTTATTGTGCAATCTCTTTAATCAGCCTCAAATTAAATATTCGGTAAATTTATTTTCCAAGGCGTCATCTTTGAAAAGATAACGAGGTCCAGTTTGCAGGCGTGGCAACATCACGGGAAATTATCTTTGATCGTGAAATTGAATATCAATCAGAGCCTCACGTGGCGTGGGCATTTTCTATTTTTGGAGTTTTATATTATGCTTAAATGAAATCCTTTTTGTAGGTCGTTGTTTTCCTATCTCTGCGTGAACGTCATGTTCATGATATCAACTGTACGGTCGGATGAAGTAAACTTCCAAGGTATGGTAAATAAAATAGTGTCGTTGTAACAGGAATGGAAGTCCGCTATGAACAGTAGTCCGCTTCCCATTACTTTGTACAGGTGACATTCGTCAAATATACTAACCCTAACCTGTACTAATCATATGGGAGCCCGGTCTTCCACTCCTAGGACACCAATCTTTGTGGGATAATCTTTGAGTGGGGAATTCGTGATGAGAATGGCGAGATGGGGTATTCTTTTGGGACGTCCCCTGCCGTTCTACGCTGCGAAGTCCGATGGGAGGCTTGGCCAGCAGCGACGAGTACCTGTGGCATTGAAGCCACCAAAGAGTTTTCACGATCCTACAAATCGAGATTTGGAGAGTACAACTGGTTTTTCAACAACTGCCACATGTTTGCCAATCGACTACCGGGCATGTTGCAAAACGGCGATTGTTAACCTTGCTTCGGGGCTGCGGAAACAGGGGATGAGGATTGGATGGTGAAGTTAGTAAAATCTGGCAAACATTGTACTATATTTAAGTTGCAACAGGGGAAACATTCACAATCATTTTAACAAACTCAAATTAATAAGTGCCCGATGTCGAGGAATAACACAGCTGTATGTTATGAAAATACAAGAAACCTATGAATCACTAACGTACTCGTTCGAGAATGTCATGTAGAATTTTTTTTCTTGTGCTCATATTGCGAGAAAAAATAATTTGAATTTGAAAACACGCATTTACGAGATATGACTTAGTATAAATTAGATGACAAGTTTTCAGTATGCAACCAGTTTTATGCATGACCGCCTTGTTTTTTACTACCCCATTGCGATTATTCAGATTCATTTATATTTTAAAAAGGTTTATGAATAAAACTTTGCTCAACAACTCAAAATTTGCTGCTTTTGATTTGCGTTAATCATTTATATTTTAAAGAGGTTTATAAATAAAATCTTTGCCGACCAAACTCAAAATTTGCTGCTTTTGATTTTTGTTAATCACCATTTCGACAGACTTATGCATTTTGGCATGACACATGAATGCGGGAGATAAAATCCTCCTTTGTCCACTACAATCATTTTTTATCTAGCTATCATATAATACTAAAATCTTTCAAACGGCAGAGAGAGAATTCGCAAGTCAAAAGTTTTAAACGCACCAGTGTCACTGTTTCAGTTATTTTTCATCTATTCTACTGAGTTTACATCTCATTATGAAGTCATTGGACAGTTAAAGCTGTAAGCCTTTTTTTTTTGTTTTTCGGTTATCAACCCCCAATTTTTCATTTTTTGAACGTGAAAATCAAACATAACCAAATTTCTTAAAAAGGTAACTACGCGGTATACACATTAAAGAACGGTTTCATATTTTGGCAAAATATTTCACACAAAATTCAACTGTTCAAAGGCCGCTCTACTACAGATACATATCCTTTATATGTTTTGCAAATATTTACAAAGAAACTGATACTGTGTCTCACAGTACTGCATGTGACACAAAAATAATAAGTATAACAAAGATTGAAAGATCAATAAGAATCTATGAAAAGCAAGATTTTGGATAAACTGCAATACAAAGCGTACCGAGAAAAATTTACTTAATATTTACCTAGACATCTCACCAGTGGAATTTTGGACGAAAAACAACTGTTTCATTTATTTCTTCTTCAATCCATTTTTGCCACGCCATTTTGAAAAAGTCAGCAGTCCAACGATACACACACAAATGCGCGAGCGCACATAAACATAGTGGCGCTTCTTTATCCATCACCAGAAATATGCTCATATAACTTATGGAGTCTTCTCGTGATGATAAGAAAATTATTTACAATGTCAATTGCCATATAATATTTTTAAAATACGAAGTTAAAAATAGTCACTGGTATTGACTGAATTTATTAATACATCCTATTAAATTTACATCTACAGCTAGTTTATTTGAATGAATTGGGAATATATTGGATATTAAGTAGCCAGAACGTTTTTTGTCACAGATAGTTATTCTCCTTCACCCATAACTTGGATATTCATTATAATAAACTTAAGGGGCAACAGTTAATTGAGGAATGTCTATTTACATGCATATACCTATCATGTATATGAGCTTTGACTGTGATTTATATATATATATATATATATATATATATATATATATATATATATATATATATGAACTTCCAGGTTCTAGTGCAATACAGGTTTGTAATACTTTATCCCTTTTTATGTATATTTCTTGGGATTTTACAGTTGTGTTTCACAATAGCTATGAGAAGTACATGTCCATGATTAATTTTACACGTTTCCTTTTGTTGACTTCTTGAGACGTGCACACAATCTCAGTATCAATCCTACTTGCTTGAAGTTGTCATTTAGAACATCATCCTATTATATCCTGTGGAATATGACTCTGTAGTATTACATGTGGTTTGTAACTGCATAATGCAATAATTTGGTGAGATTCCCAAAAACAAGATTCCCATGGCAATCACTACTTGGCATCCACGTCTATAATTGTCTCCTCCTGGTTTTTTTTTAGTAGAATTATCCATTACACCAAAGAATGCTTCTTACTGGCATATGTGGTGGATGTTTGTCTCTGTAATAAAACATAAGGTATTTGATCAAGCCATTATAACAAAATGACACAGACTTGTCCTTTTTTCTTATTCTAATCAGCTCTACATATTGCCAATATTCCATTATGACATCTTTTTAAAAATCCAACAAAGATTTTGCCTGGGCTTTCATCTTAAAACTGATACCATTTCTAAAACGGAGTTCATGAGAATTTGATAAAATTTAATGAAATGTGACACATCAAGAGCCATACATATATAAACAGAAAAAGTTTTAAACATTCTTAAATGAAATCTACCTTTTGCAGGGTTACTTAAAAATTCACTTGAGGTGCACTACGATGCAAAGATAGAAAAAGAAGAAGGGAGTTTCTTACTCTCAATACGACTAAATAGCAATACATACACTATGCATGGAGAAATAGTAATAAGGACTTCAACAGAATGAGTTGTGCACATACATGGATAAAGTAACAGGGAAAGAATTGCTACTAGATGTCTTGAAATAAATACCATCAACTAGCATAACAGAGGTTCAAACTTGAATTATACATTTTGTAATAATAAATAACTTATAATCAAATATCCCTTTTCATCTGAACTTGGCACCAACTTTTTAGACAAAATGATTTAAATGACATGATGTCTTAATTCATAATGTACATAACAAACCTATTTATAAAACAATATTTTTTGTTGTTATCATTATGTCTGAAACCAATACCGGTATTTTACCAAAATTGTTTAAATCACCAAAGCAATAATGCTCCTTAATTGATATTTATTGGCCCTGACAAGGATGTAATATTTCTTCCTTTGTTGGCTTGTTTTTTAGGTAACAGCCTAACTCAAAAGTTATGGCTGGATTATGATTGGTAATTTGGTGGATTTTGGTGGTAATCCATTTGATAAATGAGTTGCCTTAGCCAAAAGTTTGCACTCTTTGAGTGCTTTTTTTAAAGTTTTTTTATTGTTTTTCTGAGGCAGTGATTCAAAAAATAACATGAAAGAGTCCTATGAGAAATAGAACAAGACTATTAAATACTGAAATACTGCAATAACAAATCATCAGAAAAAAATGATTTAGATTTGAAATGTTAAAATCAAGAACAAGCTGGCTACACCTAATCCAAAAATTAGCTGAAGAGCTTCAACAGCTTTATATAACTTTTTAACTTTTAAAATATTTGTTCATAAGGGGTTATCTAAACAAACTGTAAGTGTAACAATGAAAACCTCACATAATGTCACTAAGCTGTCAGTCAACTCAACATCAATGTGATCAACAGTGACTACAGCAAGCTAACATAGTTCAGATTTGCATTGTTCTTCTATGGAGGAACTAATGAGCATAACAAAATTTTTTAATTCACTGAAACACTTACCAATTTTACATAGAAAAAGCCATTGAGACAAGAAAATAAGATGAAATCACATTAAATACCACATTAAAACTACATTCACATACTATATTTAATGGAATATAGTTGAACCTAAGACATGTTATCATTAAAGATACTAGTAAACCACCTAAATAACTGCTAAATGAAAAAAAATTGATTTTGTAAATTTTCTTAGTTTTAATACTCTAATCCAATTTGATATTATATGCACTGAATTGTTTACATACATGTAGCTTGGTTAGCAACTACTTGTCATGAGTTTTTTACTCACACTGTAGTGTTCTGGCATGTGATTGACAGACAAAGAACGTGAATCCCTGTATTTGTCCTGGAAATCACAGGGCAGACATGTAATGGTGGCTAGGGTCTTCTTGTACTGGCTCTGTACATTGTCATTCATAGCACAGTGGAAGATGAAGATGAATAATCCCTGTAACATAATAAAATTGTTTTGCTTTGCTTTGAAAATTTTGAATCTTTGAAGCTTTATTGAATTGACAACAGGACTAGTATTTGAGTAAGATGTGGTTTGTTCAGCTATGATATTACATCAGTGGATGCTGTAACAGTACATTTGAAATGCAAAGTAATCATCAGGTAACTGAAAACAAGCATTACCTAATGATGGTCTGATAAAGAATACATCTCTTCATTATTTTCACTTTTACATACACATGTACATGTCATAGAAATTATTGTGTGCCATGTCAAACATTCACTATAATTACTGTGCAATCAGATATATACATGTAGTTAGAAACAGACTGGACTCTGTCTAGATTAAGCCAAGACATGCAATTAAATGAAATTACCAGCATTTTAGTCAGAAGGACAAACATCTAATCAACATTTATGTTAAACCAGTTTGAGTGTTTCTATGTGTCTAAACACTATTTAAGACTAAGGCAGCCTTCTTTTCTCTTACCTGGAAGGAGTTAAGTATGGTAAATATGTAAGCAAAGGCCATAAGGTCTTTGGTCAGATACAGGAATCCAAAGATCCATGTCAGTCCAAGTAAACACACCAGGATTGCTGAGCCTTTTAACCACAGTCTGCAAGTGCAATGTTGAAATGTTTTGTTTTTCATTTTCTTCTTTTACCTCAAGATAATAACTCAGAGTGTAATAATTTAAGCTATGTCACACCTAAAGGCACATGTGCATTAATATGACTCTATCAAATCTAGCCAATGGCAAAAGTGGAAAGACTATTTTACACCAACCACTACATATAGTCACCCAAATGTTTACATATAAAGTGTAAGACTGGGTTCCCATCCCTAGATCGATCTAACAGGATCGGTCCATCTCCAAGGGGTTTCTCGCTATATTGCTTTCAGCTTTAGCAGCTTAGATGTCTGGCACGTCTGCTAAAGCTGCTAAACGATAGTTAAATACCCCCTCTCAGCTGCAGTAGGCATGACAGACATCTAAGCTGCTAAAGCCACTTAAGTTAATTGCAATTATGCCAGAATCCCCTTGGAGATAGTTCGATCCAAAATTAGTACGATAGTCTCTGAGAATGGTCTCTATCCTCTAACAATGCCTGATTATAGGTCCTTGTATAAACTTGTTTTAAATAGTTATTGTAGTTTTGGTACAGTAGTTTTAGAATATATTGTGACATGTGCAGGTCACAATATTATCACTTTAAAAATCCATTAGTACCTGAAGAAAGACACAAAAATATCAGCTGCTATTCATTGACTAACCTCAACTTGTTTTTTGTGGACTGTTCTTTGTTGTGAGATACCACCACTCGCATGGCAATGATAAGAATAACTGTGTTGAACTGAAAATAAAACAACAATACAGTACACATTAATATGATACCTGTATTTTGTAACTTGGACATGACTTGCAGCACTGAAAATGTTGTAAAGGAGTATTTCCTATAAAAATTCTGGTTTTTTTTCACAGTATAAAGGAGCTGTATAATAATGTCAGTTAGTAAATATTGAAATGAATTATAATGCACAACTTAAAAGCAAAACTTTTTTATTTCACTTTAACAATCAGACAAGCAATAAAAAACAGTAAAATTCATTACAATTGATGTAAAAATACTCATTGTTTCTGGAGCTAGTTGTTCATATGAATATTAATGCAAGTTTGAAAAACAAATATTTCCAAGGATTATCCCTTTTTATAGGGCATTTGAAAAACATGAATGACATTTTTCAGTTAATGCTACTCACAATGACTGTTACAGAAACTGGAATGGCAAAACTGAGGATAAACAAGTGCTCTGTGGACAGCCAACAACTGAAAAGGAAAATGCAAATAATATTGACATCGTACAAAATACATAAAAAAATATTTGTATCATGCAGTGGTCTGTAATGGATTTGTATTTTAAAATATGGTATACTTCCACTATAACAGTCACTTATGGTCTTCTGGAATTTTTGTTTATGATTGATTATTTAGATTCAAGTGTTGGAAATTTTCTAGATAAAGTGCACACTACTCCCACTCTCTCCAATAATTAATAGACCAATAAAAATAGCACATGAAACATTTGAAGATTTCAGTGCAACTGTATGAAAGCAGCATATGGAGATGGCAATTTTGCAAATGGTCTCAAAATTTGATCCAGATATTACCCACTCCACTTCATCTCACACCGCATGATATGCATGCCATGATTTGCTTTCTCTTAGAAGAATTTCCTCTTCCTGAAACCACAACAGGTTTCTAAGAAAGGAAAACACAGAGAGAAGTGGGGGTCTCCAGCATAGGATGTGGAATTTGAAAGTTGGAAATGCCAAACAGACACTTTAAACCTCACAAAAATTACTTGCTTCGAACAGAAAATGCTTTCTAGAGAAATGTCAAAATGTATACCAAAACTTACAACTGGAGCGTGCCATACCCAGATGGTCTAGCAGCTGCTGATATGGCAACAATAAAGGCAGGTAAACCTGTGACAAATTTAAATATTTAAATGAATGGCTAGTCTAATTATAAGAATGTGTTTAAGCATAAAAGGTAAACTTAACTTTATTTTTGGCAACCTTTTTTACATTATTAAATATGAAATCCAAACAGTTTTTGAAATGCAAATATGAACCATCAAATACGTATCAAAATTATTTAATTAGTTAATTGTTTTTATCAATTAAGTTTACAGTTATTGTAGAGCATGAGTCATAGCATTTTTCTTTTATCAACTTTTCATCTTACCACTGGTTCCTTCGGGACCCCAAGAAGCTACAGTTTGAAGTGGTACAATTAAATATGTAAATTAAATTTCTGTGGGTTTCAGAATTTCCCATCTCTTCTTATGTAATCAAGTCGTTGGTAAATGTCACTTTGATTTGGAAAAGAGATCTCACCTCTGTATGTCACAGTTCAGATTCAGATACAAGCAGATTACAAGCAGATTACCTACCAATATACATACATTAACATACATACCATAACCCATTAAATAAAAATAGAGGGAACGGCAATTTTTGGACTCGAATACTTCAATGACCAGCATATACAGCTGCACTCCCTCTAAACACATCCATGCAAAGGCAGCGAGGAAGAAAAAATGGAGAAGGGCTGCTACAATGGCACAGCCAACCTGAATTAGAGCATTAAAGCATTTATCTATGTGTAACTTTTTAAATGACACTAAAAAGTTTTTAAAAGTTTAAATCAAAAGTTTATAAGTTATAATAATTGTTGTAAATATTTAACTGGGCAATGAAATCAAACATTATCTTTCAAAGAGTATACATATCTAATGCTTTTCCATCTTATCTATACCATATCTTCTTGGACCACTTACCTGGTTCTGTGTTTTGTCCACTCCTGCAAGAAACACAGTCTCTGCCAATAGAAGGCAAAGACACAGATTCCTGTGGATAACATTTCTCAAACATCGCAAACTCCTGAAATAAGAAATTCATTAAAAAATAAATGTGTTTTAAGTATGACAAAATAAAGGTATGATGTAAATAATCATCTACAAAGATTTGTAGGTACATGTATCAAACATTTCAAATGACAACTGATTTATATGGTCTTTTTGCATTACATTTGCTCAAATCATGGATAAATAATAACTCTAATTTCAACATGATAAAAGTATTCAAAAACACAGTGGTTTGGGGAAGTACTAATTTGTTTAATTCACGTGCATGGGAGATCATACTTATTACTGAAGTTGAAAATAGAAATGATGGTAATGTACAATAACTTGTTTTCTTCACCCACCAAAATTTGTGATGAAGAACAATTTTGTATTTCTCTAGTTTCTGTCAAAAATGATCCCTGAGATGACAAAAAAAAAAGAAAAAGACAAGTTTTTTGCAAGATCACAATCTACGAATAGATGTTCAATTGTTTCCATCCTTGTACTACATAAATTGCAATGAGGATTATCAACTATTTTATATTATAACAGCAAGTATTTTGTCCCTAGAATTCTATGAATACATCTAAAATTAAACCATCAGAGTTTGGATTCTTTTATATCTGTCAGGAGATGATTGTAGCTAAGATTCCATGTTATTGCATTATTAAAAGACCTTTCCCATTTTATTTCATTTTTAGGGGTTTAGTACAGTTTTTTATAAATGTATCATAAATCGCTTTACAGCCTTTTTTTGTTTTTCCAATAATCATAAGCGGTTTGGGTATTTTTGGGTTATAGGTTTTCTGTGTAACAACTATTCTTTTTAAATTGGGAAATGCATTGTAGATAGCATTTCTTAGGCCAAAATATTTTGTGAATGGGAGGCGTATTTCGTATGCATCCGTGATTTCTCTATATGAAAGCACGTTGCCGTTTGAATCAAGTAAGTCAAGCACCACCCGGAAACCTTTCTAATATAATAGTTTTAAGAATACAGCCTTGTTTTCGATCAAAATACTTGGATTACGTATACCACAATGGAGCTTCCAGAAAATCTTGTGGGTCATTTTAAGAATACAGCCACAATTGGCTATGTACAGCATTCTTATATGTGCAATTTATTCATAATCAACCAGAACTTAGGAACAGCAGTTTAAGATTTCACAGAATATCTCACCTGAACACTGTAAATGTGATGACACAGATAAGTAAACAGACAATAGAGATGGTACAACCCACTAACGTGATCACTGACAGGGCTCTTCCATCTGCCTGGTCACTGTTTCTGTGAATCTAAAAACATTAGAAATTAGAATAAGTCTCTTTTAAAATATCAGTTTGATTTGCACTTTGAACATGAGTAACAAGAAATAAACAAGGCAAATGAAGAGGTGGATGGCGCTGCTGACAGACTATTTTGAATATTACAGAAGTGAACAAGGCAATCAATGAGTGAGGACTTTGTGCAGAAGGCAACACTCAACATTTCTTAATCCCATTCACCTTTCCTACAGTTCCCCCTATGTCCATAAGGACAGCAAAACTTGTGAGGTGGTTGCAGGCACAAACCGTGTAAGTGGCATTTTCAGAAATTTTGCGGCAGCCTCTTGTTGACCAAGCTGGGGAACGCAAACTAAATAAAAAGGGGTAAATATGTTACAGCATAAAAGCTAAAGCATTGGTATTTTCTTCTTCTTCTTCCTTTTTTTGCAAATTTCATCACTGCAGATGTTTATTGTCAAAAGTGTGGTAATGCTCATACTACCACATAACTTTCAGGTCAAATGTAAAATAATAAAATTTTTGAGGCATATGTATTTGATATTTTTCCACCAATTTGTCACCAACCTAAAAACAATTAAGTTATTTACATGAAATTTACCAGAAAGACCCATGTATGCATGTATTTGCATGATAATGACAATGCAGTGTGCAGCAGTTTCAAAATTCACCCTATACCTCATATCCAAAAACACACATTTGGAAGTGTTTGCCAGTCCTTGTTTATAATGCTTGAATGTCACTGTGACTTGTTGACCATGGTCAAATTGAAATCCATATCCTGGTTTGACTACACTTGCAGATGCCACTTTTGAGTTAATAACCAGGGAAGATGTATTCTGCTGGCTGAAATGGAAAGCAAATAGAAGAGCAAATACTAGACATACTGTAACAGCTAAAGTAAATAAAATAAAATATAAGATATTGGAACTTACCAATGCTACAGTGTATACTGCAAATTATCTTAGTTTTTTTAAAATCTATTTAGCTTTACTGTCAGTCTATTAAATGCATGTTCTTCTTGTCAAGTGAAAAAATATATTATCCAATGCAGTCTTATATTTCTCAATTACAATGAATAAAATTTTGGTATTGACTTAACTGGTTTCACTAGGTTCTTTGCTATTCTTTTTTAAAATTTATTAATATAAGAACACAAAAAGTAACATTTAAAAAATTAATTTTCAAAGAACAAGTGTGTAGCACAAACAGTTTAACACATCTCTGTGTCCCATTGAAATAGTCATGAAAACCAACCTTTTGCTTCCATTAGGTAAAACCTGATCGATGGTGTCATACAAAACAAACACCAGTGACAGGTAATCCCCATCAGGGTTGTATTCACTCTCTAGGGCAGTAGAGGGAATAGATATGGAGGTTCCAAGATCCTGCCCATCTACGTCAGGTGAGAAATTTAGTGACCTGTCTTCACTGATCAAAGACTTGTAAAACTGTCTGGACTCCACCACTGTAGGAAAACCAGTATACCAATATACACAGAATTATATCAAAATAATAGTCTTTTCTTTCTTTTCACCTGAATTATACTTCTTTTATAGAGACTAGAATGTTTATGAATCACAGTATTTGCACAAGGTATGGTGTAAAACTCGCTACATTGTCTGAAATAACTATTTGGTCATTATGTTTGTACTTAATGGGCAATGAATACAGGTATCTTATTTCAACAAGAGATCACCATAACTCCTAAATGTACCACCTGTAACCAGAAAAATAGTTAACAATTACACCTTTTTTGTTCTTTGAATGGATAAGCATACCAATATTATCTCTCTTCATCCTCTGCAGAGTAGTTGTCTGTGAGTCTGCCAGCAGGAACCCACTATGTTCAATGGAGGTCATCAATGAAGTGGCTACACCAACTTCTCTGTCCTAGAAATCGAAATCAGAAATATTAAGTTCTTAATAGAAAACAATTTTTATAACAATTGCACCTGTTTATAAAAAGTAACTGAAAATGGTTTCATTTTGTCTAGCATAAGGCTTGTTAATTGTGTTTTACATTGAAGATTTACTCTTTTTCACCTCTTTAATTTGATTCCAAGCAGGCAGTGTTTTGGGACTGAGCAAGCTACTTCCAAGTGTCACAGTTGCCTGTTAAGACAAAATAAAATACATGAATACAGTGAGTTTATAATTAAAAAAAAATCTTTACTGAAGTGTGACAGGCATTTAAGCCCCCAATATGTTCAGAGGGTAGAGGGGCATGCAATGCTGAATACATGTACCCTGCAGCTATATGGAACAAAACAAGTACACCAATGTATTTTCGCAGGTATTTGTCTATTCAGTAAATGGTAACAAATCTTTAATTACATTATCATCATTGATTATGATGAATGCAATAAGGGAGGGTTTATGGATTAAAAAATTAATGACATTTATCTTATACTTTGATCTTTCTTGCAGCAGTTTCTTGAATATTGGTAAGATAATTAAAACCGAAAAACATTGTTTACACATTACCAAACTTCCAATCCTCAGTGAAAGAGATGTATGCACTAATGGGTCTTGTTTTTATTATCTATCCTGAGCTTACCCGGGCAAAACTTTGAATTGAAGCCTCTTTCTGGGTCTCTGTAGTGTTTTCCACCCTGGTTATCTGCCTGTTGATTAAATTTGGCAGGAGATCTCCAATAGCTATGATGTCTCCTGGCTCCAGCACTGCACTCTGTTCTAGAGACACTGTGAGGTTGGTTATGACTGGGCCTGGTGACACACTTGCATCAGAATAGAACTACAGAGAAAATATTACAATCACTTTTAAGTGAAAACACATAAAAATGACCTTTGCTCAAGATTTCAAGAAGTATGTCTAAGTAAATTACCATTACATCATATTGAACAATGTTTTAATTTTCTTATATCAGTTACCTTGTGGACAATGTTGGCCACCCATGGATGGGTGCAATCAGAGTAGTCTGGGCCATCGCTGTGCATTCCTGTGACTGGGTTACATTCCCACCAACCAACACCTAGAATTACATGTCAAATTTATAAGTAGAATGTTGGAATTTGTCTCTGTGTCTCTGAAGTGCATGTCTTTAATCACAATAAATTTAAGACTTTATTTTCAAGATGAATAGTCAAATTTGCCTTTGGCAAAAATGTAAATTTCTTTCATCTTATCGCAATATAAAACTGCCTTTTTACCCATTATTTTTTCAGACATTCTTAAGTCTTTCTGATGATTAACTTAAATAAAAAGTTTCATAACTGCCTTATCATTCTCACCGACTGTTCCCTCTGGACACTCTGTAACAGCATACAATCCAGTAATTTTATTTTCCCAGCTTACATTCTTTGTGCTTGGTACAAGGCATGCTTGTGGAACCCTGGCATATACTGGTCTCCCTGTCCGCTTGGAAATGGCTATAACAGTGGTGGATGACGTGGTGCTCATTTGTGTAGTTGTAGTTGGTAAAGTGGTTGTGGTGGTAGTTCTGGTTGTGGCAGTTGTTGTAGGCATTTTAGTTGTGGTTGTTGTAGGTGTGGTTGTTGTTGTTGTAGGTGTTGTAGTTGTTGTAATAGGAGTTGTTATTGTTGTTGGTGTTGAAGGAGTAGTTGTTGGTCTTGCTGTTGTAGTAGTTGTTGCTGTCACCATTGGCAGGGTGGGTCTCACAGTTGGATAAGCTGCCCATACTGACTGTGGGTCACCCGCTGTTGGTCATAAATATATTAATTTAAAAAGTTGCATATATAATCTGTTAATGTCCTATTTGGTTTCTAAAGCATTTCAATGAAGGTTACTTAGTCAAGTTTATTGCATTACTTTTAACTTAAGGTATGTGAAATGAAATACTTTTCAGTAAACATAGATGTTATTTCTGTAACCAAAAGCAGAACTGTTTGATCCATTAAACTGTATCACCAGCAAACAGCATTTTGGGATTGCTAACATTTCAACATTACTTTACACAAAATGAGAATCACTTTGTGATGGGAAAAAATGTTGAATGTTATTTCTTACTTAGAATGTATTCACAAACAAAGATCTTTCTTGCATTGCAAGGGGTGTCAAACCATTGCAGCAGCTGTTGTTGACCCGGTTCTCTGTTCCTGACGTAGCCCATGGCAACACAGTCATTGCTCTGGGATGGGGTGTGGGGAGCCCAGTTCCTAGAATATAACAAAAATATGATATAGTGTATTTGAACTGCATTCAGACTGGTTTGAAACTAAAAATGCTTCTAGTCTTAGAGGCCTCAACAACATAAGGCATCTCACTTGACCTTGACTTGAACTTTTAATTACTTTTTAATTACTTTTTTTTTAACTCACCATTTTATGTTATTTAATACAAAACTGTGTTTTCTTGCATGAACCCTCCTTCTCTTACAGTGCTTTCAAATTATCTTTTTCAAGTATCAATTGCTAATTATAAAATATAATTTTGAAAATTTAATTTAATTCATCAATTTCCTTTCAATTTAATCAGCAATTACTGCAAATAATCTTCAAAGAAATTCTTCAGATTATGCCGAGGAGGAGGTACAATAGTTCAGTCAAACTAAGGTTCATCTCAAAACAGCCTTTTCTGGCACATTGTATCACAGTGTGCCTTGGTATGTTTCAGAAAGCTGCAACTGACTCCCATTCCTTTTTTGTGAAAATCAGTGAGCTATAATGCAACCAGGTTGTACTACTGGTACTCTGGAACTCTAAGCTCTATTACCACTTCCATTGTCCCAAATGTATCCAAAATTTGATCTGCATATATACTGTTATTGCTGAGCTGACAAAACCTCTGCTTTTAAGGCCAAAGTGCCTTATGCAGCATCAGCTAACTTAAAACCTTCAATCTTTTTGCTGTTTTTAGTAAAAGGGTTTTAGTTGCTCCCAAAGGAATACTAAAAGGAAACGAATGAAAACTATAGATTATATGGGATATAAAAAATGACAATTAAAGCAATTATGTTCAGGAAACTGTACAGGCAATTCATATCCTGTCTGATGAAGTTTGCCAATAATTAGAACAAAAGTCTACTATAAGTATACAAACCATTCATCACCATGGCTTAATGAATGTATCTGATTTATGTACCTGAACAGCTGATATTTTTGTTTTATGATTCTTTTGTTTTGGTGCTTTTCCCTGACATAACATCATGTACAATTGTAATAAGACTAATGAAGATATAACATGTATAGCTATTTATCCTTTATTCCACTTTTTTAAAGTGATGATGTGGATTTTCTTCACATTATACACAGTTCAGACATTTGGGACAAGTTTAGAAGTGGGTTGAAATGTTACTTTTTCCTTTTTGTTAAAGCAGTCTATTCTAGCCCTCACACGTGGGGAGTGGCATTAGACCCCCTTCCACTCAATATCCCAATAAATTAATATTGTGAATGCAAACATGCCAAGTGAAACACTATAATATTTTTATTTCTGCTCTTGAAACCCCAGTAAAATAATAAGATCTGCAATCTGTCAATTATCTTACTATTTATATCTCCCTCTTTATTGTTGTGTAACCATATCCATCCATATCCTACACATCCTTGACTGTCAATTCCTTCACATTCAAAGGTCATTTTTCATATTACCTCCGCCAAGGAGGTTATGTTTTCACCTGTTTGTCTGTCTATCTGTCTGTATGTCTGTCTGTCATCAACATAACTCAAATAGTTATAGACCGATTTTGATGAAATTTTCAGGATCTGTCAGAAGTGGGCCAAGGAAGAGATGATTAGTTTTTGGTGGTGATCCGGATCAATGATCAATCAATAATCAATACTCAAAAATATCGAAAATTTAGGGGTGAAAAGGCATTGGATGGAGACTTTGCTGCCTTGGCGGAGGTCTGCGCTCTCTGAGTGCTTTTCTAGTTCAATAATGATCAACGATTAAAGCTTTATGCATTTTGAGAACTTCAATCTTATTAGCAACCCTCTGTGATATATATACATACCTATACTGTGCACGGCTACCACTTATCCAGCGAAAATTGCTTTCTCCAGGTTGCCTATGTAATCCTAGCCATACATCATCATTATTTTTATCTTGCAGCACAAACACCAGGGCTTCTTGGAGTCTTTTTTGAACCATTCCATTTGATACAGTAACTAAATTTCCTGTATAAAGAAATTTGATTAATCTGCTGTAATCATTGTGAATGGAAAAGGATTTAAAGCGTAGAAACTATTAAATAAAAATGCAATTTTTAAAAGTCAACAAATAATGATAAAGTATATAATTCTAGGCTATAATAACTTGCCAACCCAAATGATAAATATAAACACACACAGAGTACCTCTGAAATTGAATTCAATTTCTGAAATACAATAAAAACTGGATTTTTTACAAAATTTTATTCTATTTTATTTTATTCTTATTTTATCATCCAATCACACACAAAAAACTGGTTCTGACCACCCAATTTCACATTATTAGTCAGTTAGCCTTGAACTGCCAGTGAGATGTTCACAAAAACATGTACTCGTTCTCAACAGGTGGCTAAATAGGAAGTATGGTGCACTTATTTCTCCCAAAATTATGGTATATTGTATTAACTAAACACCATTCTCTAGACAAATGATTTCCTTTGTATGGCATTCATTAAGTTTCCAGTACTTTTTCAGAACTACTTCAAAGACTTGCCTAACCTGCAATACAAACCTAGAGACAATTCACTGGCCAAACCAGTTAACTATAGTTCTTGCCATAAAAAATGACATCTGGCAACCTTAAGTCAATTACAAGCTGCTGGATACTGGCTGTTATAGCTTGCACAATAACAATCAGTTCTTTTCGCATTTGGAACACACATTGCCATAAGTGGTAGAAATAATTTTACATATTGAAAGTCATGAAGTATGTCCTCACCTCTTAGAGCTGAGCAAGTCCTCTGTGCATCTGTCCATGAAACTCTCCGGTTGAAGCTTCTCTCATAATGTATGGCAAAACAGTGCAGGTGCTCATTGATGGCCAGCAGGACAGAGTTAACTCCACAGCACTCTGTATCTGCAAATAGCAAACATTTTTGTTTCACAACAAGTTATTTTAAATAATATAAAAATTAATGATAAAACCAATTTACTTCCTGTTGCTAACTGCCTTTGAAGGATTCTGAGAATACCCTATATCTGAACAGCAGTCTGTTAAAGAAAATACAGTCTTTCATAATTGATCTCATCCAGTATATGAAAACAGGCAATATATTATTATTATTATTATTTTATTTTTTTTTATCTATACCCCAAAAGACTTACAGTACTTGACTGTTGAAAGCAATTGCAAAAGTCAATGAAAACATTTATCAAAGGTACTGCATTTCTAAGCCTGACTTCATGCAACAATTCGCAGAAACAATTTTAAAAAATATATGGTTTCCCAGAAACATTTGAGCAATCACAAGACAAATTGTACTTCTTTATGGGGTTACCATGCACAGTAATACACATTTCTTCATGTTCAATTTGAGGACTTTTTGTTTTATATTGCACAATTCATTTAATGAGGCATTCTTTTAACCTATGATGTGTATCTGATCACAATATCACCTCAGACATTTCTCAAAGTGATTGGTTAATTTGATGCACTTAAAAGATTTATTACCTAAAAAAGCCAACTTAAGTAACTATATCTCCTTAAAAAAGTAATTCAGTGGGACTTTTAAGCATTTTTTTCATAAGTCATCCAATATCTATTACTATGACAATAAAATACAACAAATTAGTATAGGCAATTTAAAACATAAATACCCCAAAACTTTGACCACATTATTTTTGAAGTCTTTGGTTATTACAGTCATAATTATACCATTAATAGTAATCAAGTTTCAAATTAAATGGAGTTTCTAATAAATCTTTTGAGTGAAATGACAGAATTTGATCTTGGGTTCTTGTAATAATGATTAATTGAAAATCTGACACTGGTTGGTTTTAATGGCCAATTAATGCAAGAACTATTATGGGGTACAGTGTGCAAGAATGACAAAACCAACATTAGAACCTGAAAGTCAGAGGGGACCAAACGAACTACTTTTGAAACAAATCAATAGGATGACTCAGTGTAGTATAAGTTAATGCCACATACACTCCTCGTCATAGTACAGTATTATAGTAAAAAAAAAGGTTTTTAAGAAAATAGAAATATAATTCTATGTAAAAATAAATTGGGCCTAGCAACTATACAGCAAAGCTTCCAAATATAGTCAAGAAAAAACACTGTACTACCACTGCAAATTCTGTAAACCTCATCCAACTCAACTTAAATGCAAATCTGCCTGTTATCAACTCAACGGTTTCAGTTATTTTGCCATATTACTGTTTATTTTATGTACTCCACGTAAGCACATGCATAAATTCAGCTTTTTTTTCTCTTCTGCATACAAAAAAAGTAACATCATACAGATACATGTACTTAATTTATCAGTGGCTATCATCAAATACAAAAGTTTTTCTAAAAGCTTTGTAATTTAATGTTTTTTTAGCTCCACTTTCCATACTCTCCTAGGGTACTGTCTTCATATTTTCCACTATACCTCTGCATATCTGTGCAGTATATATA